TCGTGATACTGATAAAATATGTAAAGCCGGTGCTAAAATTAACATTGGCCTACCGCTTGTACTAATAAAGTGCCAAGAGCCTAAGTGGTCACTTTAATATTAAAAAAAAAAAAAAAAAAACAGATATATTAGTGGTTACAATACCACAACTTAAAAAACGATATTTGAATAATCAAGATTGGAACAATATTAAAACTATGATTAACTTATTAAAACCCATCTATGAAGCTACTAACCTACTTTCCTCCTCCACCCATCCAACAATCGGCGATGTATGTACAGTATTCTTTGTAATAATTACACGCCTTAACGAAGCTAAAAATGAAAATAATTTAATAAGTTCACGTATGTCAAAAAAAATTCTGGAAAAACTTGATAAATATTGGGACGAATTGCAATTTTCCCTTCCAGAATTGGTACTGCTTGATCTGTTTTCTAAGTTTTACACTTTCTATACTAGCTCTGAAAGAGATAAAGTTCATCAATTAATAAATATAACTTATAAAAGTTATGCTCTCCTTGATCAACAAACTACACAGGTTTTAGAATTAAATAAGCTTAGTTCTTTTCGTGATTACTTTTGTAATCAGTTAAAACGAACCTATAATAACATGCTAATTAGTTCTAATATATTGGACAAATACTTGAATATGCCTGATGAAAATGTAGATGTACTTGCATATTGGAAGTCCAAGTCTTTAAATTTAAAATGGGTACCTCTTGTTAAAATGGCTTGGGATTACCTGGTTGCTCAGGCAACTAGTGTTCTGAGCGAATCAGCCTTTTCTCTTGTCAAACATACAATAAATGCAGTGCGAAACCGTTTGGAAGATGAAAAGGTCCACACAAGTCTCTGTTTAAAAACTTGGTACGATGCAGGGCTAGTAAAAAATAATTTTGAAATATGATTAATATTATATAGTATATATAGAGATTATACTGTATATGTACGCGTTTTTTTTTTTGTTGTAATATCAGATATGCAATAAAATTGTAATAACAGAGGTTTGTAATAAAAAATTTGTTATAAACCGCTAGGGTAGGACCAGTGTGAGACCATTTTTTGACAAGGGGGTGAACTAGTTTTCAACTAGTTCAGGACCGGACTTTTTATGGGACCGAACCAGACGCACCACTTAACATCCCTAATCATAAATTGCCGGATAACACCAATACTGGGCAAATTGTTGAATACGGTAATTTGGCTCAATGATTGGCTGACACGTGCCGCTGCGCGGCACATGTCAGCCAATCATTTGCCCGTTTGAGCCAAATTACCGTTATTCAACAATTTTTGCCCAGTATTGTATACATGTCCGGATCTGAATTTATTCGGATATTCGTTTACTATTGTTATCTGGATAATTATTAGAATATCTTTCGGATTATCCGGATATCTGAGCGATCTGAATTATCCAGATAATTCAGATACAAATGATGAATTTATCCGGATTGGAACTCTACTAACCATAAAGAAATGTTAAAGTTCTCGTCCTAACACTAATCGTAAAGAGCTGTTAGAATGATTATTTTGCTTATTTACTGAAATTATTATTCTCAATGATTCGGAATTTTAAGGTTAGGGTTGGGATTTTTAGTATAATTATTCCAGTGGATTCCCACTTACAACATATATATTTTTTCTACCAGCTTCAAAATTCGCAATTTTGATTGGTCGATCAATGATTTTCCCGGATTGAATTATAACCGGATTCATGAAAGAGAGTCCGAATTCAATCAGGATAGTCCTGAAAAATAGGATCGAAGCTCTACAAGAATAAGGCTGATATGTATTTAGTTGTATAATACAGTAATATGTTTAATGTTATTTTGGAGATTCCTCAAGCTACATACTAGTGATCTTTTTTTTGATATTGAATTGAACCTTATAATGAGAGATAAGCAAGTTTTACAATCATATCTCGATATAATAACCGGCTTGGAAAACAAGGATCTGGTGGTTATAAAGGGTTGTTTCTATATAAAAGTTAAGTTTTATACAGTTATACGGTTTATAGATCTAAAAATAGCGTGATTATATCAAGGTTGTGACTATGTTTAAGATTTATACAAGTACGTACTGGGTGAACGATATGTAGGTGATAAAACTCTGCGTATTGTAAAGGTTTTAACAAACATTCATATATAAAAAAAACTGGTTGATGTGGGAAAATCAAAATGCAGATAACGCACCGGCATATGCTAATGATTAATGCAAATATCAAATGATCGAAAAAACTGCAAGAAATATAACCTAAGGTCGCATAGAATCCAGAAAATTTTTCTCGACCTACATATTTTATACCATTTTCAATTTTTTAAAAGCGTCATGAGATTATTCTTTTTATTGAATTATTGGAAAAGAAAGAATATACACAAAAAAGACTTTTTGTAATGATCAAAGGGCTTATGCATGAAATTATTTGAAAAAATCAACCGACTAAGCCAAAAATTAGCTTTAGTCGAATTATTATTGCCCACGGTCACTATACATTAGTCTCGACGTTCCCGTTCTTTTGCCTGCTCTTCTAATACGCGCTGTTTTTCCTTTTCGATCCAAGAAATATTAATTAAGGAATCAAATTATTTTACATAAAATCAGAATATCGAAAATAATAACAAACCGCAGAAGAACCTTGCCATGATGGATCTGAAATTAATTGCTGTGTATGTATACTTTGTGATAATATATTTATCCATATATCTAATAATTGGTCCGTTTGTTCAACTGTGTTGGAAAATTGCTAAGACGCGAATTAAAGTTATACGACGTACAAAAATAAAAAAATTCTTTATTTAATACGCGTAATACAATATAAACAATTAAGAAATTATTTAATATATTTACCTGCAAATTTAGAGCCGCTTGATTCATATTATTGTTCACTTTCTCAAACATTTCATTCAAGTTTATCAGTGTCTTGTGTTCTTTCCTTAATGAATTTTCATAAGCGCTGTCCTCGTTTCTGCTGCGAGGTAAGGAAAACCAAGGGGATGAATCAATATCATTCAAAAGCGAAATATCAGATTGTTTTCTTAGCGAATTTTCATAAGCGCTGTCCTCGTTTCTGCTGCGAGCAAAGGAAAACCAAAGGGATGAATCATTATCATTCAAAAGCGAATTATCAGGGAATTCTTGATCTTGAAGGGTTGGCAAGTCAGGAGATAGTGGAGAACCTTCCATTTTGCTTGTAGTTTTTTTTGGTTTAGGATTCAGAAGTCTTTCAAGAGTTACGCGACTGAAAAATAAACGTGAGTCGTAGTTGATCAGAAAATCATCCAATGATCGATCAGATTACCTATACAGATATTAGATAATTTTTTTTTTTTTTTTTTTTTATCATCTGTTAGATTTCTTTTGAACATAAAAAAATAACGAAAAGTAATGAATAGTGAATCACTTCTCAAACCATCTCCTCTTATACCCACTTCTCGACCAGAGATCATACAATCTCTTATTGACGGTGTTGACCGTTATAATCCTGACAATGTGTCAATATTGGAGGAGTATCTTGGCACGCAGCTCCAGACTGAAGATTATGATCTAATGGCCAATTTGGCGATATTAAAATTGTTAGTATTTATGAAAAAATTTTTTAAAGCTCTAATTTAGTATCTACTAATCAGTATGATACGCATTCAAAGGATGACTGAATAAAATTACGTTTCTGAACTCTACTATAAAAATACGCTAAACATAATAGCTAGAGTGTCGATGTTATATTACTTGCCCTCACTGATTTAGAAATGTGCTATCATTTTGTATATTTATAAATTAGTAGAACTAGTAGAGAAAAAATATTAATTAATCGAATTCAATTAATAGGTATCAATTTAATCCTCATCTTGTTAACGAACAAGTTATAAACAATATACTTGTCAAATCTCTTACTGCCATACCAAATCCCGATTTTAATTTATGTCTATATTTATTACATGAGAATGCAGTATCCTTTTTTATTTTCGTATCGAGCATATCGAGCACATCGAGTCTTTATATAAGATCTCATTATTGTTTATTATTATAAACTTTACATATAATTGTCTATTTTGAATTAGCTTGCCGATGAGAGCGTGGCTAAGTTAGTTGAATTACAACAATTATTGGAACAATGCAAGTATCAAGAGTTTTGGAAATTGTATGAATCAGATGATTCATATAAAGAACTTACAAGTGATGCAATAGGGTTTGAAGATGCAATACGAAAAGGTAAATAAAAATTTACATTTTGACTGATTAACAACATTCAAAATATCTCTAAAAAAAAAAAATTCTTCAGTTATCTTAACATCAATTTCTATGACATATCAAAGTATTTCGGCAGAGTTATTAAGCAATTATCTCAATTTAAACATAAGTGAGTTATACTTTCATTATTAAAAAGGAGGGAAATTCTTATCTTTTCTGTTCTGTTGTAAATAATAATAATTTAATAAATTAGATGAAGAAGAATTTGAATCATTTATTCAAACTCGTAACCTTGTTAATAAAGATGGTATTATATTAGTACCTACAAATTACGATAATGAAGCGAAACCAACTGTGATTAGAGAAAATATTAAATTTGAACGTAAGTTTTTCATTTTCTGTAACGAATATTTGATATTCAAAATATGGGTAATTGTGCTAACATTTTTTCTACAAAACATTTTTTCTACAAAACACAGAACTCACAAAAGTCATTGGTTATTCCAATGAATTGTAATAATAATCCTAATTTTTGTATTTTTGTATTTCTCTCTCATTTATACTGTAACTTTAAAAAATAGACTCAAGTTTGGCATTTATTTTGGATCTGTTTCAGAATAAAGCTATGTTCCGTATTCGTGTAATCGGCAACTTTTACACAATTTATATTAGAAACTTTATCTGTTGTGAATGAGACGCGGCATCATTAAATTTGCATATAAAGTTTATAGTATATGGAAGAATAGCTTCATTTCTTTCCTTGTTTTTTTAAGTTATTGCCCAGCCCAATATTATATAGTGTATAATAATTAACTAATCACGGAATTATATTATCAAAATTTTTTTACGTATAACGATAACGATGTCAATAAGATCAATATAATTTACAATTATATAATGATAATTATAAAAAATGATTTAATTATCTACTTTTGTTGTGCAAATGTGCGATTTTTAAATACTATAATACAAGAGTCCTTTTTTTTAAAAAAGGAATGTACAAGATTCTATTATCAAAATTATCCGTAAACCTCAATCTCAGAAAAGGAAAAAATAAAAAAATACTAATGTATATTAAAAAAATGAATATCCATCCATAGTTTTTTTGTTATTTCGTGATACCAATGAACTAATCCTAATAAAAAGGATAATATATGGTATCCAATGTTAAAAGAAAAAACTAATTCCCAACATTAGTCATTGAGGTTCCTTTCCTCATCATTTTCACCCGCTTCACGATTTATATCATTATTACTCTGAACAGGAGAAGTAGAAGTAGTTCTTTCATCATCGCCATGCCTTCTAACACTTGAAAATCTTCGTGGTACATTTTCCGAATTACTTAAAGCAGTAATTCTATTATCTCTAACAGGACTTTCACCTCTATCAGAAGATAACGGGGAAGAAGCAGGTATTAATCCACTGTCATCTCTTCTAATAATTTCAGGAGTTACAGCCGTACCACCACCACCTGTACCACTACTATCACTAATTACACCACTATGTTCACTTGATTCTAATGTTTGTTCAGTAGTTTCATCACCACCACTACTAGGAATAATACCATATTGTTGACTTCCACCAGATTGACCAGATTGATCATTTTTTTCATTATTAAAATTTTGATTTCCTGAAGAACTTACACAAACCATTGGAAAAGCACCTTCTTTTCCAGTATTTCTATTTATACCTACAGCCCATCCATCATCAAATTTGTGAGTAATTTCTATAACGTCATTAGGAGAAATATTTAATTCATCGGTTAAATTAGCTTCATAAGGAAATACTACAGTTACAATTTCAGGTTCAGTAGTAACAGTAGGTTCATTAGGTAAAATAAGAGAAGTTCTTTCAGGTATAGGTCTTGGACCAGAATCATTATTTGAAGAAATTTGTTGTTGTTGAGTATCACCAGTATCACCAGTATCAGTAACATTATTATCAATATTATCAATATTTGTTGGAGAAATCAAATCAGAATATCTAACACTTTCAGGATTTGTACCATAATAACCACGACCACTTGATGGTTTAGAATAGAAAGGAGAGGAAGAATACATTGAAACACCTTTAGTTCCAATTTCACCACCTGAATCAGGAGCACCATTTTTACGACGTAATTTGCTTCTTTTTATAAAACAACAAAATATTACACTAAATAATAAGAAAGAACCAAATATTGAAGCAAATATTGCTATTAACATTGTTTGAGTAACAGAAGATTGATTATTATTTGAATCGGAAGAGCTTGGAGAATTTGATGGAATAGATGCTATTGGAGAAGTATTGTTTGTGATATTACATCGTGAAAAGAGGGATGATTGTGTACAACAATTATCACCTCTGTTTTGACAATATTGACAGAATGAGTTAACATCTTGACCGAAACCTATTTGTATATAAAAAAGAGAGATTAATGATTAATATTAAAATATTTCTCTATAAAAAATATTTCTCTAAAATATATTTTATATAATTTAATTATCAAAACCTAACATATTAACCTTATCACTAACTACTATACATTTGAATTATACATTTGAAATGTTGAATTTTAAAACTTAAACTATCAATCAATAATTCATTATAAAGTTTCATATATTAAATATAATAAATATATATTTAAATATATATTTAAATATATTGAAATATACGAAGATTATTTTACTGATACAGTATGATATCAGTTAAATAATTATCATCATCATCATACGCTTTTTTTTTAATCCTCTCTTCATTCATATAAATAATCCTAATAATTTCACGTATAAGCGTGAAATTTTTTTGAGAAAAAAAATAGATAGATAGATAGATATACATACCACAATTCGGTTCATTTAAATCACCAGAAATACAAGTATTATTATTAGAATCGACATTAGTATCATTAGAACACCATTTTATTAAATTTACCAAAGATTGAAGAGCCGGATTATTAGGAGGAGAACAAATATTTGGACTATAAGCTATAGTTAAAACTGAAGATACATGAGAAGTACAAGTAGAATTACAAATATTTCTAACTTGACGACCACCATTTGTTAAACTACATTGTTTTGATGGAGGATATTCTACTAATTCCGAACAAATCATTGTATATGTATACCTAGCATACATTGATGTAGAAGTAAAATTTGAACAATTTAAAGTTTGTTTATACCTCCATTGAGCATAACCATTATTTACATAAGATTCTAAAAGAGAATCGAATTGAGTAATATCTGAAGCATTTGATAACCAAGAAAATGGTTGACCAGTTATATCAGAAGTAGTTATAATTTGGGAAGATATTGAATAATTTGCAAAAGAAGGACAATGAATGGAACGACTTAAAGAAAGACAAGAAGGCATCGTTACACCTTGAGCGAAAGTTTGTGGTAATAATAAAGATAGAGATGATATAAAAGTGAATACAGTTAACATAGAAATGGGAACATGAGAAAGTGAGGATGAAAAGGGAAAAGAATAGGAAGATGGAGAGAATGAAATTAAAAGGAAACATGGTATTATTAACGTCCTTATTTTCGTGAAAAAACACATTTTGTGAGAAATGAAATAGGAAACGCGTGTATGAATGAATTAATAGTATGAATATTATGGATTGACAACCAATATACTTAAAGTAGATTCTTAACAAATTATGAGTAATAGTCGCGATCGTTCAATTAATAAAAAAATGATTATGATTGAACGAGTTGAACGAGGATTAATAATGAGAAAATTATATAAAAGATGTGTTAAAAGATGTGTTAAAAGATGAGAAAAACGCCACAACCAAAAATCAAATTATATACGCAAGAAATTTTTTCCTAATACTATAATATTAAAAGAAAAAAAAAGTAAAGCAGCGAAAGTCTGAAATAATTTTTGAGTAAAAAAAGTCTTGAAGAATAAGAAGAATAAAAAGAATAAAAAGAATAAAAAGTAAAAGGAGTAAGAAAATGTAATAAAAGTAATTTCAAAGTATTCAGGTGGAGTTTAGAGCACGTCAATCAATATTGCTGATACAAATGTTTTTTACCATAATAGGAATAACACTTTTTTTCATTATTACATTAAAAATCAAAAGGAGACCAAACGAGAGCATAAAAATAAAATATTAAAATGCTCAAGGCTGATGAGGGTTATTAGCCTAACAGGACAAGAAAAAAAAACGGAGACTTGGTTAATAAAAGAAAACGGGGGACAAAAGCAAAAAAAGAGGTATCAGAATAAGTAAATGGAAATAGAAAAAAAGCAACGGCAACAGGAAAGTTTTTTTTTTTTCAATTCATTCACATCAGCATATATAATCATATATAATCATCAGTTTACTGTAAAATAAAGTATTACACGCATAAAAAAACCTGTATATGTCTAAAATAACAAATACAAAAAAATACAAATGTGACCAAATAAATGTATCCTATGTGTTACAGAAGATTTAAATGATCGATACAAATGCATAAAAAATACATAAATCATCATAAATCATTATTTAAAATGGGTAGAATGGAAATGGTAATTACCAAGATTCTAGAACATTTATGTGGTTTTGTGTGAGGTTAAGATTAAGATCTAAAGTTTAAATAGTTCGAGTGGCCGTGTGATCGGGCTTTGTCACATACAGTAATAAAATTCTTAACTATTTATATAATCTATTATAATCTATTATAATCTATTATAATTTATTATAATCTATTATAATTTATTATAATCTATTTATCATGTTATTTAAATATTAAAAAACCAATCGAAAAGCCTTTACCTCGCGGTAATTTATGACAACATTGAACGATCTACATTATCTTCTGCACCAGTAACAATAAGATAATAAGATAGATTTTATAAACAAATTTCGTATTACCAGAAATCATAAATATTTGTCGAATCAAAAAACTTTCCAATCAAATGATTATCCTTTTCAATAGTAACACACTATAACTTGTTACTTTTACTCGCCTCAAGGCTTTGAGGTTGTAGGGGCTTGGATTGCAATTCGATCAGAGCCCCGGAAATTTATTAATATACAGTATTACAGTATTCAGGTATTATTGTTTTCATTATTATTATCGTTATCATTATTATTATCGTTATCATTATTATTATCGTTATCGTTATCGTTATACTGTAACCCTTAATTTCTGGGGATTTCTGGGGACATTTGGGTAAAAAAAAAGATTGTAAAAAAGAAATTAATATTACCCGTTTATATTATATAACGGTTAATTTCTATTTCTAGGAATCCGGGAGGCAAAGTTATAGTGGCTTCTTCGTTTAAGGCTTGATTATTCTTGATATTTATTCTGCTATGCACGTATGTACGCACGTATGTACGCACGTACGTACGTACGTACGTACGTTCTGTTGATTCATGTGACCTGAATTTTAATACCAATTTTCTAATACAGTATATTCTATCATTATTTACGGCCAAACTGCTTGACTGCTTGATCAGAATAACTCGTTTAACGTTAATAACCAATCGTAAATATTAATTTTTCTATAGTTTCAACTAAATGAATAACAAGTAAATTTATTCGAATTACTTGCTTTTTTTGTCCGCAGAAACTTTCTTTTTTTTACTATCAATTGTGTTCATGATAATCATATGAATTGTTTATACTGTATACAATAACCTTACCTTGCATTCCTTATATCCTTATTTTGCATCATGATTAAGCATTATTATTATAGAAAAATTCTATAGATTTACTAATTGGGATTCGTTCGTTAAATTCTAACATTAAATCATACTGTATGTGCTCCACATCTGGCACATGGTGTCCAAAATCACGTATACACTATATATAGATTATATATATATAATATATATATATATATATTTCTTCACATACTTCACATACTTCACATACTTCACATACTTCACATACTTCTCGTACGTACGTATGTACTTTACAGTTACACAAAGCAGATGTGGCATGATGTAGCCTGTATGTGTGTTTAAACTATGATGTAAGGATTTTATCGGGAGTCGCGACCGGTTCAAAGTGGTTGGGTAATACTAACTCTGTGTTTTTGATTTTTTTTAAAGTTTATTAGAAAGTAACACAAATTGTTGATCTTCTAACATAAATCCATTGAGAAGTTTACGCCAAACATTAACAAAAATGCACAAAACAAATCTGAATTTAGAAATGATTTCACTTTTTTGAGCTTTGACATACGTACTGTACATTATGACATTGATTGTAAACAATGCTTTATCGATATGCATTAAATGTCTCTAGAATATTTAACTTTATATTAAATGCACATTGAATAACTACTCAGTATTAGGTAATATTGAAAACTATATTATTCCTATACAATAATCACCGCCAATTACATTCAAAATATATAATCTTTGTGAATCTTACCCTGCTTAGAAGTGCGTTTATGAAACTAAAACCTTAGCATTTAATTAGCTTTAAATTAATCGTTAGATATGTATATACGTACGTACAGTACGTGTATATGCTTACATTTTTTATGACAAAATAAATTCCTTTATCATGATACACACTCCCTATGAATCTCATTATTAATCTCATTATGAATCTCATTATGACACAAAACAATAAATTTTATTTCCCTTTTTTATGTTTTAGTTTCGATTTATTTTACATTAAAACTATAATTCTCAATTTTATTTTATTTTATTTGGCTTCTTTTTTTTTTTTTTACTACATATGCATTTAATTGCCTGCATATTAATGATTCTTGGCATGTGTTTTTTTTTCTTTTAATCTAACTTTCTTTGTTTAACTTAAAAGATCTTAAAACTCGTTAGAGAAGATGCTCAATATAGTCAAACTCTTACAGTATCAATATCGATATTATAAAAAAATATTCAACACATACTCATACTAGTAAAACCATTAAGTATCACATTATATCACATTACACGTATCATTGTAAGTTTTAAAACTTTCTATTGTAAGAAATTTAATAAACGCGTATTCGTCTAATTGACAGAAAATTTTACTAAATGTGTTCTAATATAAGGTCATACGTACGTATTCTAATCTAGAAAAGACTTCCCTTTTATATAAGGAAATGTAGGTTCATTGTATTCAATAAATATATATACTTGATTTTGTTTCGGAAAATTCTCTTACGTATTTTGTTATGGCTTTTATTCTGAATATCATCTAGATTAGAATAAATTTAATATAAATTTGTAAATTCAACTTCAAACCTTAATGTACTCAAACGTGTCTTTTAAAGGAATTATTGAAAGACTTCATTTTTTTTTTAATCTTTACTTTTTTTACTTTTTTTAAATTCGTTTATTTTTTCCTATTATATACCGTCTTATAAGTAATAGGTTGTATTAAAGGTTTGAATTTAGGTTTAGCAAAGCCCGTATAACGTCTTTTTAATAGTAAACGTAGGCCGTATAACAGGTGTTATACGCCAAATAGTCTCAATTAAGATCATGAGATTTATTTTGTTATAAAAGAAGAAGAAAATAATTCCGTTATTGGATGCACCGCATCTGACTTTGAATTTAATGTGCTAACCTGGGCCCCGAAGGTGCTCAGACTAGAGATGGGCAAAGTAATTTTGTAAGTAATAATGTCCTATGACTTATCCCTTACTTAATATATATTAAGTAATATTAAATAATTATTACATTCAATTATCTATTACGTATCATATAAACACATGATAAAAGTCGATTGAACGAAAAGTTGTTACTAATGATAAAATTATTGTAAAATTACTTAATAATACTTATTCAAGGTAATATTAAG